GGTTGGAACAAATGGTGGGAGATCAAATTTTGTTCAAACCAGAAATTTTTCTCCTAGGCATAATACCGGAGGGGTATGAGAAAGATGTACTTTATATAATTATACATGTACTAACTGCGGCGCGTATAACTTATGTGCAGCATTGGAAAAAAGAAAATACACCATCAGAGTTAGATATATTCAGGAAAATTTTGGCCTGTGCGGAAGCAGATAGGCTCACCCTTGAACTAAAAAATAAAGAGGAATCGGAATACTATGAAGTCTGGAACAGATTTTATTATTGGTATAAGACAGTGGGTCTCAACCTTCCTAATGCCGCGACCCTTTAATACAGTTCCTAATGTTGTGATGACCCCCAACCATAAAATTATTTTATGTTTTCTGCATTTTTTCAAAAATATGTGTTTTCCAATGGTTTTAGGCGATCCCTGTGAAAGGGTCGTTCGACCCCCAAAGAAGTCCCGACCCACAGGTTGAGAACCACTGGTATAAGACAAGGTGACAAGTCTGGAACAAACTGTAAATAATGTGATTGGATAGGATAGATAATGTATTAAGTAGGCTAATAGTTAATGGATGAGGGGGAAAAAAGGATAACCCGTCAACTGATGCCTCCTGTGTGGCACACCAGGATGTGAGGGCTGCACAATTGCTTAAGTGGTTCCACAGGAAATATCCCTACAAACTGGGAAGGGGGGGAGGCAACAGAGCAGCGCACAGCAGAGAGCGGTCAGAAAGATGTGAGAGGCTGTGGCTGCGATGGCAGGACTTCCGAGCCAATACCAAAGTGGAGCCAGGAGAGGCACCAGTTCAGACGGTGGCTCGCCACAACTACGTCCTCCAGCTCTCCCACCACCTCAATTGGGGGTCCCATCCAATGTGGCCAGGAGGGTCATTGAGCAGCCAAATGCCTAGCACCTCCCACCACCACCCCAGCCAAGGAGCAAGCCGCCTGCCTCGATAAAGCTGAAAAAGCCGCAGCAGAAGGGTCAGGAGAAGTCAAGTTTGGCGTGCCAGGCCTTTGTGGTCTCCCCTCCATCAAACAAGGGAGAGGGAACTCCAACCAAAGGGGACCAGCAACCTGCCCCCTATGACAGGGTGAAGGCAAAAACGACCCGATGGTAAGTGAAGCCATCCGCCCCTTTGCCATCCCTGCAAGAATCGTGGTACCAAAGTCAGGAGCCCAGGGAGAGGTGGATGCCCTAATTGTCTCAGGCTGCACTTGGTGCCTAATTGGCCTACTGATGGTGCTAAGGCTGGGGATCCGCGTGAAGAAGCCGCCCCACACCATGTGGTTTGAAGTCGATGGATCCCTAAAGGAGGGTCCCCCGGAATGCACTTAACCAAGCCAGTGTGATTAGAGATGGGCCAGCATTGGGAGACTATCTGCTTTGTGATAGTCCCAAAATTGACTGAAGCAGTAATTCTGAGATTGTCTTGGCTGGACAAATGGGTGTCCAATTATATGAACCCCCATTTCATATTTGTATAAGGGGGTTCTATTTTATTTAGACAACATCCTCATCTTTACCAAAATAATGGAGGAGCACATCAAACTAGTCCACCAGGTACTCAAAAAACTCCTGGCCTGTATTATCTAAATGCGAGTTCCACAAGACCTGACTTGACTACCTGGGGTACCAAGTGGCAAGCGAAGGGGTGGAGATGGACCCAGGAAAAGTAAATGCCATCCTGGAGTGGCAGTGCCCTAGAACCCACAAGCAACTGCAAAGCTTCCTGGGGTTCACAAACTTCTACGAGCAGTTCATCCCCTCTTTCACCAAGACAGCCCTGCCAATCATCAAACTGCTAAAAACAGGAAAAGGTGTGTGTGTGTGTGTTGTAAAGCCTTGGCCCAGCCAATCACTAGAGTAAACCATGGAATGCCAGAAGGCATTTGAAAAGCTCAAGTGGCTGTTTGCAGAGGAACTGGTCCTAAAACACCCTAACCCCGAGGAGTCTTTTGTTATCCAGGCCAATGTGTGATTCTCCTCCAGAAAAAAAGGGAGGGAAACCTGCAACCATGCGCATACAACCTCCAGAAAACTCACGAACCCTGAAAGGCAGTGTGGGAGAAGGAGGCTTTTGCCATCCGCTGGACATTATTAACCTGCCGCCACTTTCTAGAAGGGAGCAAAGTGCCATTTGAAGTATGGACTGATCACAAAAATCTGGAAGCACTTAGGACCATGTGGAAGTTTTCGCCCAAAGAAGTTCAGTGGGCACAGTATTTTAACTGGTTTGATTTCAGTCTGAAGTACATCCGGGGGGGGGGGGGGAATGCCACAATACAACAGCAATCAAAAAGAAGTAGTCAATGCCATCATTCCCATCCCTCAAAAGGCAGTGCAATTCACTACAAGGCGGCAAACTCGGAAACAGCTGACCGAGCCTGGGGCTGAACTGACCTAGAAGCTCAGAGCCGAGTTGCAGGCTGATCATGTTGTGGTCCGCTGGCAGCCTGTGGAGCTCGCAGCAGAGTCAGACAGCGAGGAGGTTGGGGAGGAACATGGGCCAGTCCTGGAGTCTGGGGAAGGCTCGGATGAGGGCTCTGCATCAGAGACAGAGAGAGGGCCAGGGCCATCTGGGAGTTATGTGCTGCCTCCGGAGCCTCCAGAGTTGGACAGCAGCAAGGCAGAGGAACAGGCTCCCCCTGTTCACAGTATGCGCATGCCAGTGGTGGGTTCCGGATCCTGTTCCAACCAGTACGGTTGGAACAGGCCCGGCGGCATCCACATGACACGTGCAGTGCGCGCATGTGTCTTACCGCCTCCCCGATGCTCCAGCTGCTCAGTGGAGCATCGCGCAGGTGCTGTATGAGCCATGCGCATAAGCCTTAAAAGACAGGTAAGGAGCTTGGGCGGGCAGGTGGGCCCTCCGGAGCACCGTACCAGAACAGTATCCGGTGCTCCGGGCAGGCTCCGGTACGCCCGTACTGGGGTGTACTGCCTGCAATTCACCACTGGCGCATACATACAGCTGCCAGAAGGCAAGAACAGTTAAAACAGAAGGGACAACTCGGAAGGTTTGGAGGTGATTGGCCCCTCCCATAGGACATAAAGGAGGAGCAAAGGCACATCAGCCTTTGCAGGAAGCAACTTGGTTCATGCTGGTTAGTTTACCTTTTGAAACTCCGTTTGGACTCTTTGCTCCATGTGGCCTTGCCAAACTAATTGCTAATTAAATCTTTGGCAGTGTTTTCAAAGAAGATAAAGGTGGGTGCATATCAGCCTTATTCCGAAGGACTTTGGCAGCCTCCTGTAGAACTCTTTCCAACTATTTGGGATTCATTACTGGCTGTTGTGACTCAGCAATTATGCTGAGAGCTTTTTCAGGATACAAAATTCAGTGTGGGGATTCAGCAGTTCTGCTGAGTTTTTTTCAGCATACAAAATTCAGTGTGGTGAGGCTTCCTGGGCGGGACTTACTGATGGTAGCAGCTAAACACAGCTGCTCCCGTATTACTAGTGGCGTTATCTGTTAAGATGATCATCTATCAGACATCTGACAGACACCTGACAGTCAGAGGGTTGCGTGAGGATAAACACGAGAACTTGAAACAGATTTTTTCAGAGGCTTTTGATTGTCTGGTGGGAAAACCAGGGTGCAACATTGATTGGCAGATTGATAAAGTTTATCGCGTTAATTCTTGGGCAGTGTCAGCCTCTGCTTTGCTGCTGCTTCGGCTNAAATGCTTCATAAATTGGAACTTTGAGCAATACTTTGCCTTGGACTCTGATTTAATTTTGGATGCTGTTTGGAACCCTGACAACAGAATTGTTAAATGAATCTGGCTTCCCCGTTGCCTTTGTCTGTCAGGAGGCTGCAAAGATGGTTATGAAACTGTCAAAATTATGAAGCATTTGCCAAAAGTTCAAATTTGAATCACACGGCCATGGGAATGCTGTAGTGGTCATAAGTATGAAGAATGGGTGCAAATTACCTTTTTCGGGGCCATTGTAAGTTTGAACGATCACTAAACAAATGATTGTAAGACTATGTGTAATTTCTTTACTTTTCTGTGCTTTGTATAATATTGTGTGATGGGGACTTATGTATTGTGACTTTGCTAATTTGCACCCAAAAGAGGAAAATGAAGAACGCCTGTTTTAGCCTGAGCGTCCCTTTTAATTCCTCACAAATGCAGACACCAGGAAGGACATGGAAGAAGCCACAGGTTGAGCGAGGAGATTACCTGGCTTGAATCCTGGACAGAGGATTGTCTTTCAGCTGGTCACAGTTACTAGAGCTAATTATCTGTGTGCCTGAAAAATCAGCATTATCAGTCTGTGGCAATTTGAAAGAATGCAAAAAAAGTGGCCAAATTGCAAATAAATAAGTGTGGGGATTTTTGCTCTAATCTGTAGTCCGTGGACCCCTGGGGGAATCTCCATGTCTCACAGGGGGTCCATGGAGGCTTATAGAAATGTTATGATTTAAATCTTAAGTCTTGGGGGTCCGTGACCAGGGTCCATGACCATAAAAGTTATTTAAAGAGAGTGAAGAAACGGTTGAGAATCACTACTCTATACACACACACACACACACACACACCCAATGAAAAGGAAAACCCTCCTATCTCTCTGGTTTTGTGGGCCAATTGAAGGAAGTTCAGGACAGTGGTGCCCAGAGGCAGGCACCAGAGATAAGAAGTGATAAATTCTTGAAAAAACGCAGCACATAAGGTTTTTAACAATTCTATTGAGAAAATATCCACAACACATTAAAAGAATCTCAGCACAAAACCTCTCTGAAGCCTAGTTGGCAGGCACAGCTAACCACTAGCAGGGTGTCTGAAAGGATCTATGACAATTAGACACGCCAACTTGCCACAGTCAACTCAGGACAAAAGTTAGTAATAATATTAGCATTTAGACTTATATACCGCTTCACAGTGCTTTTCAGCCCTTTCTAAGTGGTTTAAAGAGTCAGTCTCTTGCCCCCCACAATTTGGCTCCTCATTTTACCCACCTCGGAAGGATGGAAGGCTGAGTCAACCTTAAGCCTGGTGAGATTTGAACTGCTAAATTGCAGGCAGCCAGCAGGCAGCAGAAGTATCTTGCAGGACTGTACTCTAACCACTGCGCCACTGTGGCTCATACACTAATATCAAAGAAATGGTGGAATAGAATCATTGAAAAAAGGATGCCAAAGGAGGAACAGAATGAAATGTGAATGGCAAAAATTAAAATATTTTTTATTTATTTTAAATAATTAAACAGAATTGTTAAATTGTCCTGCAGCAAAGTGTCCCAGGGCATGTGATGGGCTGTGGCGAGGTGTCCCATTGCGTGTCTGAAGGGCTGGCCCCATGCTGCACTGCCTGGGTCTCTCTCTGGAGCAGCTAGGAGTTTAGAGGGGATCTTTGGAGAGTGGGAAAGTAAAAGACGTCAGGGACCCTGTGTGACCCCCCCACCCTGCATTCTGAGCCAGGAGAGCCAAGAGGAGACATGCTTAGCCATGCACTGAGAATTTGGTCTCCTCCCTAGACCGACTTTGATTCCGTGTGGCTTTTGTGCTGGACAGGAGAGCAACACAGCAGGTTCTTGTGAACGAGCCAAGAAAAGCATGCTTCCCCCACAGGCTTCGGCTCAGCCAACCCAACACAGGTAGCCCTCAACAGTTCATTTAGTGACCAAAGTTACAACGGCACTGAAAAAAGTGCCCTGCGAATATTTTTCACACTTATGACCATTGAGCATCCCCATGGTCACCTGACCAAAATTGCAGTGTCCTGGGATCCCCTTTGCAACCTTCGGGAAAGCAAAATCAATTTGCTTATTCACTTAACAACCGTGTTACTAGCTTAACAACTCCAGTGAACAATCTTAACAATCGTGAAATGGGGCAAAACTCACTTAAGCAATGTCTCACTTAGCAAATGAAAGTTTGGGTTCAACTCTGGCTGTTAGTTGAGGACTATCTGTCATCCCTTTTCTAGCCGCCGTACAAGAGCACGAAATCCCTTGTGGCAGGAAAGGATCCGCTCTTCCTCCCTGAATCACCCCAAAGCCAGACTTACCGATAACCGTCAAGACCTCGTTCTCAATGTCCGCCTTGATGTGTATCCGGCCTCGGCGCTCGGTGTGGTCTGTCCCACAGAGACTTGGCACGTTCATCACGCAGCGCTTGTGCACGTTCATCATGCAGGCTGAGCCAGAGAGAGAAAAGGTGTCAGCCCCAAAGGGAAGACCAGCGAGGGCGTCTCAGGGGCCTCCGTGGGTGGGGCTGCCCCGAGGGACCCTCTGCTCCTTCCTGAAGACAAGGCTGGGTGAAGCTTGAGGGCACTCCTCCAATCTCGAAGGGGGGGGGGGCTGTCCCAGGGAAGCAGGCGTGGCCTTCGCCGCCATCGTGCCCAAGGGCAGGACAGAAACCAATGGGGAGGAAATTTGCAAGAGACCCCCAAATTCAAAAGGAGGAAGATTTTCTTTCTCTCGAGGGCTACCAAACAATGTCAAAGCCTCCTGGAGTCACTGGGGCTCCGTCCAGACGAGAGTGGACAGCCAGACATCTCGGATGATCTGAGGATTCCTGCTCTGGACAGAACAGGCTCTCAACTAGGTTTTCTGAGACATACAAGATATCTAGCATTCTGCCATGCTGGGGAAATGCTCTTCATTGCACTTCCTTCTGTCTGTTCTTCCAAAATGTTTTCTTCCCAGGGAGATCTGAGAAGAAATGCTATTGGGGGGGGGGGAGCAGGAGGCCATGCCCTCCCTCATGCAGATTGTGCCCTACCCCACTGATATTTAAGAGCAATCACAGAGCAACTCCTGCTTCAAACATTAACTGGGGTTCTTCTCCCTGTGGAGCCCCTAAGATTTCCTAAAAGCCTGGGATATTCCAGGGGTGCAGCCTTTCTCTCCCCCCAGCCTGTTCCCAGTTTTCTGAATGCCTCTCCCCGGGACTTTTAGCTCCATTGGAAACAGGAAGTAGTGACAAGAATCCTCAGAGTTGCATTTTTCTGCATTCCCTCAGTTACCATGTGAGCCCAGGCAAAGATGTGCCTTATTTAGGAGGCTTCTGATGCCCCTTCTGAAGCTTCCTTCCTTCCTTCCTGCTTGAGATCCAAATACCTGGAGGGAAACTTTTTATTCCTTCCTTGGTCTCTGGCATTTCCGTGCACATTAAGTAGGGGGCTGCAATTCATAAGGTGGGCACAAGGGGGCTCTCTAAGCTCATATTTTCTGACTGCTAACTACTTTTTCTGGTTGGGAGCTTTCAACAGAATCATAGAATCCTAGGGGTGGAAGGGACCTTGGAGGTCTTCTAGTCTAGCGGTCAGCAACTGGTGTTCTGTGGACCACTGGTGGTCCACAAGAAAATTTTGGTGGTCCGCAGAAAAATTATTTGCATTTTTTATATTGCACCAAATACTATTTTCTTTTTTAAAAATCCATATTAGTGGTCCGTGGGATTTAAAATTATGGATTTAGAGGTCCCTGAGGTCTGAAAGGTTGGTAACCCCTATTCTAGTTCCTTTCAAAACATTTCACTTCTCATCCAAGAAGCTTCTTCAGAGAACTTCTTCTGAAGAAACTTCTTGAATGGAAAAGCAAAACATCTTCAGAGGGAGAAAAATCAAGGAAGTCCAGTGAGGAAAAGCACCTTTGGGGCAACCATGACCTGGATGATTCGGAATCTCCACAGACATGGGATTGGGAAAGGACCCCGTGACACAGAAGGTCCCGTACACAGAGGCTCCTCACCTGCAACAGGTGGGAGACAAGACCGGCAGGGGCTTCCTTGCATTCACCCACCCCACAGTCCTGTTTCCTCTGAGGCAGCTCTCTTCTCTGCTCATTTATTATATTCTCAGGATGTCCGAGCTGCAGCTGCCCAGGCCCACAGCTCCCACATGCAAGGAACTCCTCTGTTCCTGGTTCTCCCACCTGCTCCGCTACGCTCACAAGGACCTGAGAACAGGTGAACGGAGCAGGGCGTTTCCCCAGGACCGGACCTCAATGGCTGGGACTTACTGTCGCATTTCATCCCCTGGTGGATAAGTCCGTACAACAAGGAGCCGCAGTGATCGCAGAAGGTTGGGCTGGAATATGTGTGGATTTTGAACTTGTGTTTGCTCCGAGGGTCCTGCAGGGAGAGAGAATGGTCAGTCAGGTCAGGGGCCCCTCAGCAGGTTCCCCCAGATCTATAAGTAACCGCTTTCTGGCATGCAGCATTACTAAGATAATTACTCTTCATGCTGGAAACCACTACTGTGCTCTTTCAATCACTCTCATTCGGTTGGGTACAAAATAGAAGGTTTTTTTCATTTATTTTTCCAGAGGAGGCAGCATGTTCAGTGACCCTTGCAGGAGTGCAATCTCCTCTCGCTGGGCATCAGTCCAGAATGGCTGGAATCTCCCCGACTGACCCCAGAAGAAGAAGCATCCCTTGCACCAGGAACCGTGGCCAGCAAAGGAAGCTGGGGAGGGGGTTGAAAAGGCGACCCAATCTCAGTGTTACCGGTGACTGAGCTCCAAAACACGGTTTGACATAAATTGGAAAGCATCTTTAAAAGGTGGAGGAAACTCTTTTTGCCATGGATTGGACTAGAAGACCTCCAAGGCCCCTTTCATCTTTGTTATTCTGTTAAATACAGTCTAGCAAATGGATAGCAATCAGCAACACCACCTGATAAAGAGGTTTTTTTCTGGCCCAGAGCCTCCAGTTCCCAGTAGCAAAATGCCAGCCACGTCTCTCCTAGACAGGGCTGTGTAAAAAAAGCCATCTATCCAGGTATCCAATGAGCAACTTCCTCCACTGCACTGGAGGAAGGACTGTAGCACAGTTTGGGACAGACATCTCTCTCTTTAACACTGCCCTGATCTTCACGATTATCTGCCTTGCGTTTTTATCCTTCAAGGCCCTTTCTCTGCCAGTGGCCATTCTTCCCAGGAGCCTGATGCAATCTCATAGCAAAGCTGCTCTCTAAAAAAAACTCCAGGGAGGGGAGGGGGTGAAACCAGTCCTCCCCCCACATTCAGCCTTCACTCAGGGGCTGCTATCAGGAAGCAGCAACCACACCCAGCCTGTGGCTAATGGGTGGGACTCCACGCCTGTCTTCACATGAGCTGCACCCACTCAGGTCCAGGGCCACCCGAGAGACCCCCTTCTGTAAAGGGGAGCAAAGAAGAGAAGAAGCTGCTGCACCCCAGAGCCTCAACTTGTCTTTCATTTCAACACCACCCATATTTCATTATTCTGAAAAGCAAAATGCCAGTGGAAAATCATTTAGTGCCTATGACCAGCTTTTAACCCTGAAGAATCTAATTTTTTTACCAGGCAGATAGAATATTGAGAAAGTGAAAGGCAAAAATTGCACATCCGTCCCTTCACGGAGCACTTCCTTAACACAGAGAGCAATTTGGGTTGAGGCCCTCTGATCCAAAAGGCAGCAGACTATAAAATGCTTATCCATCTTTTCCCAATCTGCTGCCTTCCAAATGCTTTGTACTACAATTCCCATCTCCTGTGTTTTAGTCCCAACATCTGGCACACATGAGCCCAAAAAGACTTCCTTCTTGCAGTCAGATTTTATACGCCCTGATAAAAAGGCCTGAGGCACAAGGGAGAAGCAGCAAGAGGAAAGGGATGCAGCCAAGGTGGGGCCACCTCAAGGCCTTCTGAGAAGTGAATGATCAGGGCAGGCGATTGTTAGCAAAGGCATCTTCAGGACAAGGTCCATCAAGGTTTCTCTCTAGTTCCTATCAAGGGAATTGTGCCAGCACCCTGCTTGAGCCCACAGCAGAAACTCCACTGGAAGAGAGTGGACAGCCATTTCTCCACAATGGTCTAGGGCAATGATGGCGAACCTTTTTCTTATGGCATGCCAAAATTGTGCGTGTGCATGCTATCGCACGCGCATGCATGCCCACAGAAATTCAATCCTCCCCACCCACCTGTGCATGCATGCACGACCCCTCCCCAGGCTCCGGAGGCTTTCCTGAAGCCTGAGGAGCGCAAAAATGACTCCCTGTTGGGGCCATTCATTGCCCTCCCCAGGCTTCAGTGAAGCCTCTGGAGCCTGCTGAGGGTGAAAAACAAGCCCAATGGGCCAACCGGAAGTTGGTGCCCTCCGGAAGACTGGAAATCAACTGATAGCTAGCATGCCAGCAAATGTGGCTCCACATGCTACCTGTGGCATGCGTGCCATAGGTTTGCCATCACAAGTTTAGGGTCTCCTGCTTGAGACCTCCTAAGGCCCTGCCTCACCAGTCTTCTCAAGGAATCAGAACTTTTGAAACGAGAACCATTTCAAAAGGAAACCTTTATTGGAAGATTGGGACAGCAAGAGATGTAGGCAGGAACTAAGATTTCCCGCTCAAAACATTAGATGAGACCACTGCAGACAGAGACCCTCCCAAAGTCCAACTCATCATTGAGCCAATCCCGAAGAGTGAAGATGTTATGGGAAACTCAGGCCGAGAAGGTGATAAACGCCAGTCTCCAGGGCAACGCTGCCACTCTTCTCCAGAGACAAGATAAGGCAGCTGGCCCCAGGCACATCCCTTTCCCCCCTCCCAAGGTCCCGAAAGTTACAGGAAGGCAAAATAGAAACCCTATACAGATATTCTCCAAGCCTCCCGCCTCCCATCAGAATGATAGCATTCCTTTAGGAATCCTCCAAGATCCCTTCCCTTCTGTTATTCCATTATTCTGCTCGTTTATGGAAGATGTTCCTTCACAGGGAAACAACCTGTCTAAAGAGGCTGCAAGATGGAGCCAGTGTTATGGAAAGGGCAAAGTAGCAAAGAACAGGCAGAGGCCAAGGTCAAAGGCTCTGGAGTTGGACGTCTGTCTGTCCCAACCAGCAGGTCAATGGCTCCTCTCCTCCAGGAACCGAAGAAAGTCAGGATGAAGGAGAGCGGAGTGGAATCCTTCATCTGCAAGTATGTTCCTTGTAGAGCTGAAGGTCCGGAAAGGAGGATGGAAGTACCGTTCAATGTGTGTCTACAACACTCCCACTCCTGAGGGGGCTACACAGATTCCCCCTCCCCCAATTCAAGGGCTTCCTTTGTGGGAGGAAGGGTCCATCCTGCCTCACCTGGTTCTTGCAACACAAAGCAGAAGGAAGGGGAGAAACCTACCTGCTACCAAAGAGGCCACAGCACTAAGGCTTTATGAGAAAATGAGATTTTGAAGTGGATTAGCTTGAAGGCTAAGAGGCAACTAAAGTGATGGGATCAAATCCCGGGGCTTTCTTGCCGATGAGTCTGGGGCCGACCTAATCAAGGTAGCAAGCCCTCCAACCTTGGGGAGATGAAGCTGTAATGGAATTTCACCTTCTCAAACTGCTGAACGGCGATTGCAAAGTTAATTGCTTCAAACTCTACAGAGCCTTCAGTCTAAAGCAACTTTGCCTCCAATTCATTAATGTTCCAGATGCTCCTTTTAATGGCTGGGCTGACACCTGAGTAATGAGAAGCTGGGGAAAAAATGGGGGTTAACAACAATTAACCTCTTTTCAGCATCTATCAAACCCTCTAAATCACTAATTAACCTACAGTATTCTGAGAAATGCCTCTGCTTCCAAGGAAGACGGCAGTCTTTAAGAGGCCAAGCAACATGGGGCACTCCACTGGAGGACCAAGGGTTAAGTTTATGATGGGCTCCTTCACCCTTCTTGACTTCTGGGCTTCTTGGAAAGAAGGTGAGCTAGATGGATTTAGCCTTGATCTAGGAGGCGTTTCAAATGAAGCCTGACTAAGGCCACCCTTGGAATATCGCCTCCAGTTTTGCTCACATATTATAAAAGAAAATGTTGAGATTCTGGAAAGAGTGCAGAAAAGAGCAGCAAAGATGGTCCGAGGGCTGGAAGCTAAAACATACTAAGAATGGATGCAAGAATTGGGTATATCCAGTTTATCAAAAAGAAGGACTAGGGGTAACATGATAGTAGTGTTTCCAATATTTGAGAAGCTTCTAAAAAGAAAAGGTGCCAACCTAATTGCCAAAGTATCTGTAGGCAGGACAAGAAACAATGGATGGAAACTAATCAAGGAGAGAAGCAACCTAGAACTAAAGATAAATTTCCTAACAGTGAGAACAATGAACCAATGGAAGAGCTTGCCTTCAGAAGTTGAGGATGCTCCATCACTGGAGGCTTTTAAGAAGAGACTGGACAGCCACTTGTCCAGAATGGCATAGGGTCTCCTGCTTGACCAGGGGGGCCCCTTCCAACTTTGTTATTCTGTTAAATACAGTCCAGCAACACCACCTGATCAAGAGGTCAAGGTTTTTGCTGGCCCAGAGCCTCCAGCTCCCAAAAGCAAAATGCGAGCCCATTTCCTAGTCTGGGCTGTGTAAAAAAAGCCAACTATCCAGGTATCCAATGAGCAACTTCCTCCACTGCACCGGAGGAAGAACTTGTAGCACAGTTTGGGACAGAGTGCGAGACTGTGGTTTGGAAAAACAAATGAGCAGCTTGTCTGCCTGAAGCGCTGTGCCCCTGATCTGTTTGCCAGGTAAGCCTGCAAGTCACGGCCTAGCTAGCTGCCCCCTTCCCTGTGGCCCTGCCATGCTTCCCTGCCTTCCACACAGCCTTCCTGACATCCCCATGGTTAGCCTGCAAAGGCAGGCAAGCGGAAGGCAGTGTGGAAGGCAGGCAAACATGTCGGGGATGCAGGGAAGGGAGCAAGCAGCCTACTCCTTTCCCCACAGCACTGCCATGCTTCCCTGTCTTCTACGTGGCCTTCCCAGTGTCCCCGTGACCAGATTGCAAAGGCAGGCAAGCAGAAGGCTGTGTGGAAGGCAGGCAAGTATGGCAGGACTGTGCGGGGAAGGGAGCAAGCAGCCTACTCTCTTCCCCGCATGCTTGCCTGCCTTCCACATGGCCTTACCGGCAGTCCCCCATGCCTGCTTGCCTTCCAAGGTCAGCGTCCAGCCTGGCCCAGCCAGTGAGTGGGCAGGCGCCCTTGGTGAAAATGCAGATGCTGTGCTGGGGCTGAGAGGGGCAGTGATGGCGGTGCTGAGGGAGGGCAAGCTGACATCCCAAGGCTGCTGCACATGCGCCCAGCCCATTTCTGCAAATGGAGAGCCCCCCCCCCCCGATGTAAGGCAATCCAAAGAGGGGAGGGGGATGCTGCAGA